CAATATTCATTTTGCTTTCAAGAACACTACTTGTACTCAATTTTATTCATTTTTTAGTGTTCTTTTCTTTGTTCTAGAATTGTATAAACATTCTACCTTGTGAGGATTTCCTTGTAAGTTTGAAAATTTGTAATCTTCTCTTTGAGAAAGAGTGTTCTCAAGAATTGGGGTATATTCTTGAGGGAGTTGTAAGGTATCTCTTTGGCCTCAAAAGAAAGAACAAATTAGTGAATTTGTTGGAAAATCCTTAGTGTGGATAGCTAAGGTAGTGGACGCAGACTTTGATTGAGAAAGTCGAACCACTCTAAATCGCTGTGTAATTACTTTCAATTTTTTACAAAAGCTTCCACCAGATTTTTATTTTCCAATTCACCCCCTCTTGGCCGCTTCCATCGATCGATTAACTCAACAATATACATTCCGATGCAGATTTCCAGATCTCACTTAAGAGTACCCGATAGTGCTTCGACAGTGCTAGAGGGGTGAGTGAGCTCCGAGATGCAGAATCCCTCAGTCGTACCATGATGCCAACCACAGATTAGTAGTCCAATAGTTGTATACTCAGACATATGGCACTTACCATTTCATTTAGTGAATGCATATAGTATAGTACAATTTTTAGTGAGGCATTGAGCTCGTAAGCTCAGCGTTCGGAATGTGATTCCGTGCACAGAGATTCTTAGGGAGCAGGTCATGGGGAGTTATCGTCGTCAGATATTCTAGTACCTCATATTCAGATTTTTAGAGACCTTTCAGAGTACGGCTTGAGTCATCTTTAGAGGGCATGTACTATTATGGACTCGTATTATGTTTTCAAACATAACTCTTTTTGGAACTCAGTATTTTGTATTATTTTTGTGGATATATTTTAGGAGCTCCCCATTAATTGTAAACCCAATATATTATTATGTTTTTATATTACATTATGAATGTCTAAATTTCAGATATTTACAACCAGTTTTAAAAGAAAATTTTTGGGTTACTATTTCGATAGTCCCATGTAACATTGTAATCCATGGATCTTCGGGTCTAACTGGACTAGGGTGTTACAGAGAAGATAATGCACCATACCAATGTTGTATGGATTCTATGTTCTAGGTTGTAGATTCAAATCAAAGTTCAAGCCAGCGACGCAAGAACACCTTGGCATCGAAGAAAATTATTCACCAACGTCATTTCCCCAAGTAGTAACACTCAATAAGTTCACGTCGTTGCGTAAATTACCTATCAAATTATGGACATTATGATCGAAATCAAAATCAGCCCGTCTCCAATTTGGAAAAGCAGCAGCATCATTATCATATGAGAAATCTGCAAAAAGCTCAAGAGGCCCTTTTAATGAATATTGCATATGGCAATCAATCATCATGTCCACATCACCATCATCGTCAATATTGCATATGGAGTATATTAGTGGTTCTAACGACGTCGGCAATCGATACTTAAAGGTGCTCAATTTTTTCCCATTACCATGTGGAACAACATTATTGACTTCTTTCGTTAACTTTTTATAAGTTAATTTCTTCGGCAAGGTTATCGTCATAGTATGTGCGGACTGAAAGGCGATGCCAATAGATTCATCAGGCATCATTCTGTCATCATAGCATACCAAAGCAGTAACAATTCCTCTCCTCGACATGTTCTAAAAATATATATGATCATGCAAAGAGGAAAACAAAATATGCACAAAATGTTGATGCCTTTAAACTATGTATAATCAAGAAGCGTCAAATAAACTTATGAGTGAGATTGAATTGAGTCTGTTGATCAATTTCCTTCTTTGCTTTAACCTTGTGTCTGTAGTTTGCTTCTTCACCACTATTAGCTTGAACTATGAATTGGAATAGAAGTCTCCTTTTTTAGTAGAATGGCTTGTTGATGAGATGTGGAAGGGACTTGGTCGGCCTGCAAAGAATATTCCTGAAGTGCCATGAACCTCGGGTTTTAAAATTCGAATTCTAGAGATTCCTGACATAGCAGTAGCTAATTTGACATAGTGGTTTAACGTGTATATAGCATTTTGCTCAGATATTCCTGACTTCCAGCAGTAGATATTCCTGACTATATTTGCCTATTTAAATTCTTCTTCCTCCACTAAACCAAAACAAACCATCTCGTGAAATATGCTAAAAAAACTTCTAGTTTTAAAAAATACATTCTCTTTTGGTTTCATCTGCAATTTCCTTTGCAAACTTCTTGAAGCAATGATGGGTTTTTCTCCTTTGTATTTTGTACCCACGATACCAAGATTTGTGTTAAGGCATTCTCTTCTAATGGCATCTAGATTTCCGTTTGGGCCTTCCGAGAAACTTCTTCTAGACGAACATCTTTTGAGAAATGCTTCTGAGCTTTTTTCTTTGTGCTCAATACCGACCGCACGAAGAAAAAAGACAAAGTTTTCCTTTGAGCTTCTCTAACGCGATGATATTTGTTAATTATGGAAAGTAACATCTATTTCTCATTTCCGCTAATGTGTGCTAAAATTAAAATTTAAAAACTGCATAAGTTATTTATATAAATCTTACCATGTTTACATTTCTCATATGAGTTCACATCATATTAAATTAAAATAGAAGTTGTAAAACTACGCTTGTAACCTCAAACATTTTCACAAATGTTTCGTTTAACATCTCATATTACTCAACGAAAATTTCTATGAACCCATTTTTTAGCTTCGCGTTTTTTAAAATAATAACTATATTTGGTACAAATTTATTGATTTTGTGGGGTTTTTTTTTACATTTAATAATAATGTCATTATATTTGTTTTAAAAATAATACCTCACTTAGCGTTTTACGAAATGAGACATATCTCGCATTGTTTGGAATGCGAGTTCCTTATGAACCTTTGGATTTTATTTGATTTAAAGTGTCGCGTCTTTCCAATGGATACCTTGCGTCTTGGGAAAAGCGAGGTCCATCAAAACCTCGCTTCAGGATGGCTGGGAGGATTGTTATAAACAAGGGCCCATTTTGGAAGGTTTTCCAAACCGATTTCAAAAGAAAATGCCAAAAAATGTTTTTTTAATATTGTTGAATTCTCGGTAGAAGTCTTAATACTTCATGTTGTTTCTAACTCCATCCTCGATTTCGTCAACACGCAGTTGAGTTGTAAGAGTTTTCTTGAAGCTGCCGATCAAGATTACATTTTCGAGAACGCTTCTATGAAAAATATTAGTATCATGCTGTGGGATCAACACGGGAAGGTGGCTCACCAAATATGCCTTCATGCTAACAATCTTGAAGCTTTATACAGAGAGGGCATGTTTAATTTTTTTATTGGAACAAATTCGGACTTCGACCTAAATTGTTTGAAGCAAGTAGTCGATAGAGCTCACATTCTTGCCATATATGTGTATGGCCTTATTCCAGTTTATTCTGGTGGCAAATCGAGGGATGAAGGAATTCGAATCATGAAAGCTCTTTATATCATGAAAATAAAATTATTACCTCTTCGTTCTTAGATGAATCCTTTTTACATTTTACAGTTGTGGTATCGTCACCACATTATCTTCCTAGAACAAATCGAAGACTGCAGTTGTCCTACCAACTGTGCGTGTAATTCAGACCTCCAACGTTGGTACTGCGTGACATTATGACAATCTATGTACTTGTTATGCTTCTTATTTTTGGAACCACGAAGCAAGTTTGTTTCCTCAAGTTATACATGACTGTCATGTTCACTATTATTAGTGTCAATTTATATAATAATCTACTTTTTAGAAATGTTATTGCCTAAATATTATGTAATCAAAATATACCGTACAAATTTTATATAACGTAGAGGTTATGTAATTTTTTAAATTAAATATGATTTAATCAAGAAATAATTAAATCTATCACTAAAATTAAAATTATTAAATTTAATTCGAAAAAGCACAACGTGCCTCGCTTCTTAGAAGACGTGAGGAACATTGAATATTTTTCGCGATAAATTTCTCAGAACTATTCGATATCTCGTGGACCTCCCGTACTGAGAAACGTGAGGTACTAATAACCATATTAAATTGGGTAATCTGAAAAGTGCATGGTACCTCGCGTCATGTGAAATGCGAGACACGTTCACGCACTGGATAGGACGCAAGTTAGGCCTACGTGTGCACAAAGGGGTTTTTTTAACAAATTTGTTAAGCGGGTTATTATTCAAAAAATAATAATTTATGGGGGTTTTTAATTTAATAACACCCACCTAAAAGTATAACGGAAAAAACTTTAGACACCTATTTTTAGTGAAAAAATCTTTAGGCACCAAAAATTAATTTTGAGTATAATTTAAAAAATAAGCCAAAAAATAATATATTTAAACAAATTAAATTATCAATAACATTAAATTTTATATATTATTTTTTAAAAAACACAATAAGACTTTTATGTACTTAAGTTCAGGTTCGAACTTGAGTTTGAACTTGAACCGAATTTGAGTTTGAGCTTTAACCGAGCTAAATTTGAGAATATTGCGAGCTCGTATTGAGTTTTAATTTTTTATTTCAAGTTAGCTTGAAAATTTTAAGCTCGTTATCTTTCTACTGAAGTCAACCTTCAACTTTTGATTTCGACTCGAACTTAACAATTTTAAACTCACAAATTTTTAAATCAAACTCAACTTTAAACTTTTTAATTTAATAAAATTCAATAAATTCGACTCGATTTGTTTACCCCGTACACCCCTGATAATCCCCATCAAAGGTAAGTTCAGTACTTCATAGAATAGTCTCGGCAGAAGCATAATCTCCATCCTATACACCCTACTTAATACTATCGTTTCCTTATTCCCTCTAAAGCTCAAAGTAAAGAGAAGAGTCCCAAAGTCATGTCGGTTCGGTTATAAGAAAACCCATAATTTCATAGAATAGTCCCAAAGTTCAGTAATTCATAGAATAGTCTCGGCAGTAGCATAATTCAATTTTTTCCCAGACCCTTTCTCCCACTACAATTGTAACAATGGCGTTTTGGTGCAGTTAATAAGAAAACCCATCTTCAAAACTTTTACACATAAATCTCTTAAAACTAAAAGGGCCTTGAGATAACGAAAATGACGAAAATCACTTCTTGTTCCTCAGTTGCTATCTGCTTCTACCCATTTCCACGGCTTTCCTGAAATGTATCTTAAAACTCATTCCCCTTTTCTTCATAAGCTCAAGGTAAACCTTTTCTCTTTATGTTTTTTGTTTTGTATGTGTTGGTTTGGCAATTAATTTTCGGTCTGAATCTTGGGTATTAGATTTTTCTATTAATTAAGTTGGATTTTTTTGTGAGTTCTGTACTTAATCTCTCTAGTGTTAAGGTAAAATTTTATATTAGAAATGGTTCTTGAATTGTATACTCTTTCTCAGCGCTGCATCATTTGCTTGTGGAATGACGCGTCTTCTTGTATCCAATCAGGGGCGGATGCACTAAGCCCCTAGAGGCAAAGTGCATTCCCATTATTTAGAAAAAGAAATATGAAATTTAGTTTGATATTTTAAGGTAAAATAGAAAAAATAAAAAATTTTGTATGCCCATTATTTTTAAGGAAAGAATATTAAAATTTTAGACTCGTTCTTAATTTTTTAAATCCGCCACTGTATTCAATATTCTACTATTGCTTCACATTCATTTACACAACTAGCTTGCTTTTATTCCTTTGTTACCTTGTCTTTCGACTAGTCTTTCGACTAGTCTTTATTCTTGCAAAATGGTTATGGCTAAAGCGAGTGCTTCAAGGTTTTCCGCTTTTGGTAAGCTTTCTTCAGGTAAGTTATGTCTTATCTAACCATGTTCATTGTAAAGAATGAAGGTCGTTTTGGATTTTCTGTTAGTCAAAAGGAGCATGAAAAAAGTTATACATATATTGCACTTGATATATATATATATGTCACTTGTATATGTTTTCTTGTGTTCGACTAACACAAGTATTTCCATTCTTAAATCATTTTGCAAATCACTTTAAGGGCATATTCTTGGTGGTACCGTGTTTGTGCTTTGAGGTATGAGTAAATGTTGGTATGTGAGTTTCTTTTTACTTGATTTGTTTGGGTCAATGTTCTCTATTTGGCTAGATTTGATCTTCATTTATTTATTTATTTGTCACATGGAGATCATATAATGATGTTTATTCTTAAAGTTCAATGTTAGCATATTACTTTATTTTTTTTACCTATTCTCTGTTTACCTTAAAGAGATATCATTTATAATTTACTTTTGTGTGCTTACTTTTTTGTGGCAGCATTCAGCTCGGTATCTTTTTACACAAAGTTATGGTTTGGCCATGAAACAAAACCAAATTATTCAGAATACCAAGCCAAATATCTGTTCTGCTATAAATATGGGCCCAGGCCAGTCTGGGGATCCTGAAAAAAAAAATTTTGAGCATATAACAGAAAAGGCTAGAAGATTGTGGGACAATTCTCCTTAACCAGTTAAGAGATTTCCTTGGAACAGAGCTTTCGAGAACTTTGTTCAACTCATACTTGATCTTGTGCAGGCAATGGTCAAATATCTAAGTGCACCTATACTGGCAGTTTCATCCCTTAGTGAGATGACATACTGTACACATCATAGGAAGTTAACCATCATCCCTGTTCCCCTACTCATTGGCTTTGTACTTGTAGGGATGATGAAAGAAGCTGCCATAGAACAGTCTCCCCTTCTCAGGGTATGTATTTTTGTTATGAACAAAGGATGTTGGAAACTTAAAGACATTGTATGAAATTTATTTACCATCACTGTGAGGATGGGTTTATTTACATCAGAGAATCTGTCATATTGCTAATGCCTGAACATGTCTATTGTTGTTTCCCCTTAATAGAACTAATGCAATTTTCAAATGTGGATGTTACCAACATGGTAAATGTTGTATACAATGTCAGCGTATAACATTTTGTTGACCTTTTGGCTTGATTTTCAGAATGCAAAGTTCCATGGAACCTGATTACAATTGCAATATTCTTCACATTGAGCAAATTGCCAGGTCCGTATTACCCATACCGGGGGCTCATTTGCATTCCACATATTGCAAATGGAGCATTATTGAGGACTCTGGTTATTGTTTTTGTGGTATAGAAGATCCAAAATATCTGGAGCTAAGTTGCCAAATAGTCTGGTAAATTGGAGATTCTGAAATTGAATAAGCATTAATCTCAACAGGTAAAGGATTTTGCCCCGTCCGTAACTCAGTGATCGGTAGTTTGTGCAGTTGTCTTTTACTGTTAGTGTATGATAAACTAGCCTTTCTTTCTAATTTTCTTCATGGCATGGCTAATGTCTCCCATTTTATAATAAGTTGCGTAGGAAAATTTGTCAGAACTGGAGAAGGCTTTGGCTTGGGATTTTCGGCCTGAGACTTTGAGCACCAAAAGTGCTCCAACCCAAAAAAGCATTTATACATTGGCCTTGCTAAAAGTTTTGTAAATACATAAACTAAGCTTTCAGTATTTGTAGTGAATACCAAGTTGGTAATTTTTCTTCCTTGAAGTGATGTATTTGTAGGAGTAACTTATGTTTGGTAACTTGCTATCATGTTGCATGTGAGGTTGGGATAAATTTGGATAACAGGTACATGTTGTAATTTGATAATTAGTTGTAATTGTAAATGTTATGGAAGTGTTGATTTCTTCAACCAAATCCTCAATGAAGTTGTTTCATTTCATGTTATTATCTTCGGTGACTGGTTGCTAGCTATTGGTTTAAGATTGAATATTTATTCTTGTAATAAAGCTGTCTGTTCATCCGCGCCATGATTTAATCAGCAGAAAGACATTTCTCCTTCCAAGTTGTTTTTGTTGTTGGTTATCTGCCTCAGCAGATCCGTTGCCGATATAAAATTTTGAAGAAAAAAGAAAGAAAGAAAGAAAAGGAACGGTTTGTCATACTTGAGGAAATCAACAAGACAAGCTAAAAGACTGCATTCTGTAAAGCAGAAATATACTGCTTCAAATGTTGGGTTAACATAGATATCTCATACATGAAGGCTGAGTTCGTTTCATTGAGAATTCGTTTGATTTACGAAATATAAGATTATCATTGGAAGTAAGATTATTGGAATGGTGTATTACTTAACATATTATTAACAATGTTAAATTATCTTGTTTGGTTTGTTTGACAGAAATATAAGATTAGTGTTTGATTGAAGGAATATAAGATAAAAAAATATATGTTTTATCAAATTATCCTTTAGATATATATTTTTAACAAGAATATTTAGTATTAAACTCAACATATTTACATAAGAGTTCATATAAAATATAATTTCCTATTATTTTTAATTTATATATTTTTAATAAAATTTGTACACAAATAACTTAATATATATTATATTATTTTTAATTTTTAATTGTTTAGAATTACATAAACATACTTACACTAATATAATTATGTTGTGATAGAAATGAATTGTCATTCCATTATTGAAATTGGAATTAGGGTAAAGTAACAAATGATCCCTAGTATATGATGTTGTTTTGTTGAATCTCCAACTATTAAAAGTTACAAAATGATCAACTGTCTATTCATATGTTCCAAACTCATCATTTTTCGTTAAAAAATTATAGTAGTTTGAGCTAGACGTTAACCTTCTGATTGTGATGTAATAGTCGTTTAAGATTTTGGGATCATGTTTTGGGAGATGTACATACTTACACCGGTGTAAGTATGTGTTAATTGTTATTATTTTATTCATGCTACATGTATGAGTTGTACAATGAAATATCATATCAAATTATTTTACAGATTATGTACGTATTTATATCGGTGTAATTATGTGTTGACTTTTCTCATTACTGAATTGATATAATTTGAGATATACATACTTTGACAAAATTATGTACATACTTACACCAGTGTAAGTATGTGTTAACATTTTTCAGGTATTAAGATATTGAGAGACATACATACTTGCACCGATGTAAGTATGTGTTAATTGATATTTTTATTTATTTATTCTTGCTATATATATGAGTTGTACAAAGAAATATCTTATCAAATTATTTGACAAAATTATGTACATACTTATGTTGAAAAAATAGCTTAGTACAAAATAAAAGATTAGCACTGGGGAAAATAAATAAGGTAAATAAATGAAGACCAAGTAATTTTATTGTGCTGTCTAGTCACTGCCTTAGAAGCAATTTTGCCCGAACTAGTGTAATCCCTAACAATGGATGTTGCCCCTAAGGTGAACATAATTTTCCAAATTTTTTACACCCGAAATAAGGAAATGAAACTCTAAATAGTGTTGCTATTTTTTGGAAGAAACGAAATAATTTTATTTGGAGTAAATCTTATCCGAAAAATATCAAAGGCCACTGAAAAGGAAAACTTCACCATGCTTTGTGAAGAGAGAAAATATAGAAGAGAAGATGAGGAGAAAGAAGTGAGTGATTTGAAAGTGAAGAGAATGCCTCCTTTTATAGCTAAAATATAGGGGTATTTGGGTAAAATCTCCAAGAGAAAAATCATCAATTTTTTCCCTAAAAATCTAAATCTCTCCTACTATTTCAATATTTGAATTTTAGTTAAATTAAAATTTCAAATTAAAATAAATTTATTTCTTTGCATTATTAAAAAATATAACCAACAATCCCTCACTAATGCAAAGAAGTATAATTCCATAAAAGAATTAAAAGAAAAGAGAAACAATGAAATTAATTGCTTAAGCAATAGTATCTGTTAGATTTGAACTAGTACATATTGGAATGAGTAATTCTTCTCTTTAACAAGTGAATAAATCTTGAACTTGTTAAGATTAGGGTCAACTCATAACACACAACTAACCTCATATCCATTTGAGTTCCGCGCGGTAGTTCAAACATTTTTCAAATAATACCTCGGGATACTCATAAGTAATCTAGAAAGGTGACCCAAAGTCTTTCATAGAAGGTGGATACTCCTTCACACTTACTTAGGTGATTTCATCATGTCTATCTCAATATAGACCACCCGAATTAGGGCTATAAAATCATTAAGAGCTTTTATTAAACTTAACATCTCATTTATGAATCTGGTGAATTTATCAAACCTGTCTCACTAGGACTACCCACAAACATGGGTTATGTATTCATTAATAGTGTAAAACTCAACATTATAAATTAGTGTATCCAACAAGTTTGTATCGCTATGACCACCCAAATCTTGGGCTATGGATTCAATAGGAGTATAAAACTCAACCTCTTAAGTGTACACGATATGTCATAGGAATGGGTAGAAGTGTACAATATGAATTACTCATCCAATGGGGTTAAGTTCCATTCCTCTTGACGAATCAAGAACCGTTTTTTTACATAATCCTTTAATTAAGGGATCAACAAGGTTCTTTTCAGATTTTACGTACTCTAAAGTGAGTACTCCATTCTTTATAAGATATCTCACAGATTCGTGTCTTATCCTGATGTGCCTCTTCTTACCATTGTAAGATTGATTATTAGCAACATAGATTGCTGCTTGTGAGTTGTATAATAATGACATTAGAGGTGTAGGTCTCCCCCATAAAGGAATCTCTGCAAGCAGATTCTTAAGTTACTCGACCTCTTGCCCAGCTAAATTAGGAGTAATGAACTCTAATTCTATGGTGGAGCGAGCAATACACGTTTGTTTGGCAGACTTCCAAGAAATAGTTGCTCCACCTAAAGTAAAAATATACCCACTAGTGGAACTCACTTCATCATTTTCAGTTACCCAGTTTGCATCACAATATCCTTCAAGACTGCAGGATATCCAACGAATTTAAGTTCATAATTTATTGTACCTTTAAGGTTTCTAAGTAAACGATTAAGAGCATTCCAATGCTCACCACTAGGATTGTAAGTATATCTACTTAACCTATTAACATCATAAACAATAGCATGTCGAGTGTAGTTCATTAAGAACATCAGGCTTCCAATAATCTTTGCATATTAGATTGTGAGACACTATTTCATTTATTTTTTTTGAGTTGAATGCTAAGATCATAAGGGGTACTTACAAGGATTACATCAAAACTGTTAAACTTTTTCAAAATTTTCTCTATGTAATGAGATTGGTTTAACGAGTATCCTTTATCTGATTTAGTCACTTTTACCCCTAAAATTACATTAACTTATCCCAAATCAGTCATTTCAAACTTAGTGGATAAAAATCTTTAGTCTCTTTAATGACTTTTATGTGTGTACTAAAAATTAATAAGTCATCTACATACAGACTTATGATAACACAGTTTTATTCAAACATTTTAGAGTACACACATGTATCTTCACCATTAACTATAAATCATAACTGAGAATAGTTTTATGAAATTTATTA